CCTTGTGTGTGTGTGTGTGTGTGTGTGTGTGTGTGTGTGTGTTTGTTGTTTGTTTTTGAATGGATGGGTGAATGAGAAAGTGAGAAGTCAGAAAAATGAGCAAATCTGAATGAAAAGAAATATGAAAAACTTAGATAAGGCTTCTTTATTTTATAATTCTGGTTGCTTCTACTGTTGGGCTTCTGAAACCACTGTGTGAATTTACACAAGTATATAGGTACCAGTGCTTATAGATTTTAATATTGTATTAAGTAAGCTGTATAGTGTAGGACTTTGGTACATACCTTGAATTTTATTACTGAACTATTGTACAGTACTTGTATTAGAACAGACCAGAATCTTTCGTAGTATTATGGTATTAATGTTAATTAAACCAGTTACACTAACCCAATAAAAAAAATGCCTAGTTTGATTATTTTGTGCTTTTGGAGGATAATTAATGCAAATTGAATTATTATTATATTATTATTTTTTTTTGCACATACAGGTACTTTTTGTATATTTGCACATACCAGTATACTTTTTTGTACAGGTTTCCCTTGCTTTATGTGGTTCACTTTGTGTGAATTTTTAATCTGCAGTGACCCTGTTTCTACTAATAATTTGCTACATGTATATATTTGCTTTTATGCTGTCATCCAAGCCCATCATCGCTTGAATTTTTAAAAATATCTGATAAAAAAAACCACACCTTTGGTGGGGGTTAGAACCCATGATCAGGGAGTCTCAAAACTCCAGACCGTCACATTAACGCGATGGTCTGGAGTTTTGAGACTCTCTGATTGCAGGTTCTTACCCCGCCCATGGTATGGTTTGTTTGCAATCGTGTCATTACGATTTCGTGAGTCAATATCTGATAACCAAGGGGACATTTTAATCTTTGAGGTGGAAGGAAGGAGGGGTAGGGGTTGTCCCAGGAAGAATTTTAAGGGTTAGAATAAAGGATGTTTTGAGTACTAGAGGCCTAAGCATCTAGCAACCATATGTCATCACAAAGTTCCTCTCCTAAGTGCAGGTTATTTGTGAATTATGTGAGTGTATTACATCAGAGTGGATACTAATGATTTTTACAGCTTGTCCTGCCAAGTGTGAGCAAGGTAATGTATTTTTTTTATTATTATTATCACACTGGCCGATTCCCACCAAGGCAGAAAAAGAAAAACTTTCACCATCATTCACTCCATCACTGTCTTGCCAGAAGGGTGCTTTACACTACAGTTTTTAAACTGCAACATTAACACCCCTCCTTCAGAGTGCAGGCACTGTATTTCCCATCTCCAGGACTCAAGTCCGGCCTGCCAGTTTCCCTGAACCCCTTCATAAATGTTACTTTGCTCACACTCCAACAGCACGTCAAGTATTAAAAACCATTTGTCTCCATTCACTCCTATCAAACACGCTCACGCATGCCTGCTGGAAGTCCAAGCCCCTCGCACACGAAACCTCCTTTACCCCCTCCCTCCAACCTTTCCTAGGCCGACCCCTACCCCGCCTTCCTTCCACTACAGACTGATACACTCTTGAAGTCACTCTGTTTCGCTCCATTCTTCTTACATGTCCGAACCACCTCAACAACCCTTCCTCAGCCCTCTGGACAACAGTTTTGGTAATCCCGCACCTCCTCCTAACTTCCAAACTACGAATTCTCTGCATCATATTCACACCACACATTGCCCTCAGACATGACATCTCCACTGCCTCCAGCCTTCTCCTCGCTGCAACATTCATCACCCATGCTTCACACCCATATAAGAGCGTTGGTAAAACTATACTCTCATACATTCCCCTCTTTGCCTCCAAGGACAAAGTTCTTTGTCTCCACAGACTCCTAAGTGCACCACTCACCCTTTTCCCCTCATCAATTCTATGATTCACCTCATCTTTCATAGACCCATCCGCTGACACGTCCACTCCCAACTATCTGAATACGATCACCTCCTCCATACTCTCTCCCTCCAATCTGATATCCAGTCTTTCATCACCTAATCTTTTTGTTATCCTCATAACCTTACTCTTTCCTGTATTCACTTTTAATTTTCTTCTTTTGCACACCCTACCAAATTCATCCACCAATCTCTGCAACTTCTCTTCAGAATCTCCCAAGAGCAAAGTGTCATCAGCAAAGAGCAACTGCGACAACTCCCACTTTATGTGTGATTCTTTATCTTTTAACTCCACGCCTCTTGCCAAGACCCTCGCATTTACTTCTCTTACAACCCCATCTATAAATATATTAAACAACAACGGTGAAATCACACATCCTTGTCTAAGGCCTACTTTTACTGGGAAATAATTTCCCTCTTTCCTACATACTCTAACTTGAGCCTCACTATCCTCGTAAAAACTTTTCACTGCTTTCAGTAACCTACCTCCTACACCATACACCTGCAACATCTGCCACATTGCCCCCCTATCCACCCTGTCATACCCCTTTTCCAAATCCATAAATGCCACAAAGACCTCTTTAGCCTTATCTAAATACTGTTCACTTATATGTTTCACTGTAAACACCTGGTCCACACACCCCCTACCTTTCCTAAAGCCTCCTTGTTCATCTGCTATCCTATTCTCCGTCTTACTCTTTTTTTTTTTTTTTTTTTTTTCAACAAGTCGGCCGTCTCCCACCGAGGCAGGGTGACCCAAAAGAAAAGAAAGAAAATCCCCAAAAAGAAAATACTTTCATCATCATTCAACACTTTCACCACACTCACACATTATCACTGCTTTTGCAGAGGTGCTCAGAATACAACAGTCTAGAAGCATATACGTATAGAGATACACAACATATCCCTCCAAACCGCCAATATCCCAAACCCCTCCTTTAAAGTGCAGGCATTGTACTTCCCATTTCCAGGACTCAAGTCCGACTATATGAAAATAACCGGTTTCCCTGAATCCCTTCACTAAATATTACCCTGCTCACACTCCAACACTTTACCAGGTATACTCAACAGACTTATCCCCCTATAATTTTTGCACTCTCTTTTGTCCCCTTTGCCTTTATACAAAGGAACTATGCATGGTCTCTGCCAATCCCTGTATGGAAGAGGGTAATGTATTTATGGAGGGATTAAGGAAAACCTGTTAGCTACACTTAGAGACTTGAAGGTGGGAAGTACAGTAGGAATTTTGCAGTTCAGGGGATCATTTAAAATGTGATGTCTGCACACTTTGGGCAAGACAGCTATTGAATGAATGATGGTGAATGTATTTCTTTTTATGGGTCACTCAACCTTATTAAGAGTCAGCTGATGTTGAAAAGGAGTTTAAATAACCCTATGTATTGTACTGGTTTATACTGACATTCATTAAAAAGAGTGACCAGTAAGAAAACAGTTTTTGGCATGGGAAATCCAGTGATCATAGCTTGAACATCATGTGGTTGATTGTCACTTTAAGTGTCTTGTGCCAGTTAAAAAGAAAATGGGCACCCGGCCTGATGAAATTGGGATGTGGTGACAAAGTCAAGACTTGAGTCGAGGAAGGGCAAGGAGATGTGTTTTCACAGGTTCATAGTATGTGCACTTAGTCCAGACAAAGGCAGGCTGAATGGTTAGTGATAGAGGGAGAGTAAGATGGGAGAAGGATTGGCGATGGAGGGAGAGTAAGATGGGGGAAGAATTGTGATGGAGGGAGAATAAGATGGGGAAAGATTTGGTGATGGAGGGAGAATAAGATGGGGAAGGATTAATGATGGAGGAAGAGTAAGAGGGGGGAGGATTGGTGATGGAGGAAGAGTAAGATGGGAGAGAATTATAATTGAATTGTGGATATATTTTTTCTCTTTGATTTTTGACCAATTCCATTGTTTTTTTAGTATGTGGATATTTGATCACTATCAGGTATGCCCATAATGTTTTGGTAAAAAAAATGTGGATTCCCCAAATTTTGTACTGTATGGGGACTGTGACTGTATTTTGTATTTTACTTTTTCTTCATTGTTTTTGAACCAAATTGATTTCTTTTGTGCATCTGACATTTGGTACGAGTGTTAATGTAATTTTGTTGGTAAACATTAATCAAGAACTGTGGAATTGGCAAAATCTTGAAAGAATCTGTTTATCATGTTATTTTGGGTTTGCTCTATGCAAAATTGCTTTATGTAAGATGGGCCAGGAACACATCTACCATATAAAGCAAGGGAGACTTGTATTCCGAATGGTGTCCCTTTATCATTCTTATTCTATCTTTTATTCTAATTTTCTTATCTGCCCATTTCCTCTGTCTCTGTATTGTTTATGTAGTACATATTCACTATTTTCCTTAGTTCATCTTCACAAAGTGTTTTTGCCCATATTGTATCATTTTACCTGGTTTTATAGATAATCAGTCCATGTTCTGATAACTTTTTAATTAACATTCCTTATTTGCATAATTTGACAGTTTTCACTTGCTTGAATATCAGTCAGTTGATTTTATCATACTTTTATTGTTAACCAGATTCTGCCTGTTCATAATTCTCTGTTCTACATTTCTGTACTAATTCTTTTCAGATTTTATTAACAAAATACACAATTATAAACCAGTAACCCTGTTCATTTATGAAATAATTGACTGAGTAAATTTGTGTAAGTTGTAGTTTCTTAGATTAATGATTCATTTTCCTTAAAGGAGTCAACATTTCAAAAGTAATAAAAGTGGTGGTTAAACATTATTACTAGAATGTATATTTTTAGAAATGCTAAATCACTGTATGTATTTATTTAGATTTGTTGAGTAATTAAAAAAATGGCTTTGTAATTAGGTAAAAAGAAGCTGTTGAATGTGATTGTTTTATTTAAGACAATTTTTACACTTTTCATTATTAATATAGCCTCCATAAACCACATTGCTCTATAATTTACCACATTGCAAAACCGTTAGATCTTGGTACGATGGTAAAGTGGTGTACCACACTAGTAACGTGTTCTTGTGTTATATATTTTGATTAGTAATTTGAGAGTATTTGTATTGGTCAACTTGCATTTTATTTTGTTGGGTTACCTTAGCCCTTTTATCAGACATAGACCAGCTGAACAAGATTATGAAGCTGGTGGGAACGCCCAGTAAGGACCTTATTGATAAGCTCTCCAGTGAAGAGGTTAGTTCCTCTTAATGCTGGATACACTAGGCTATAATTGGCCCTTTATGCTGTTTTCACATCACAAGCTTAATAAATTATTGCCTTCTTTATTTCTCATATTCCATTGCTATCCTTACTATATTCTTACTAATATGGGGCAGTAGTTCTTTTTTACCACCATGATCATATATTATATTTATGAAAATATAGCATCACATAAACTGTATATAAAGGGTAGTATATTTTTGTTATTCATTTTTAATATTATTTACTTGTCTAACATTCTTTTTACTCAAGCTTTTGTGGTGTTTGCTACACAGGGCTTCACTGCATCACTGCCAGCATTTACTACTAACCATTAACTTCACTGAATTTTACTTTCATGTATTTAATTCTTCTCTCCTTTTTTATTATAAGTGTTTGCAGTCTTGTGCATATAAAATGCAGTTGAATACTTTTTAGTTATTACATTTGATGGATGATAGTTGTGAGGTTTCACTCCTCACTCCTCCCTCACTTGAACCCTTTCCCCTCCTCACACCAACATTTTTCATCTCTACTCAACACTTTCCCCATCACCCAACACTTCCTCACTCACCCCAACACATTTCACCCCAGCATTTCATTGTTCAGTCAACACTTATCCTCACCTCACCCTAACCTTTCTCATATTACACCCCTAATTTGTTTCTTAAGCACACACACACAGAATAATACCAACAGTATACACCAGACTAGCAGCCATAAGAATGATCATCAGAAATTTGCACAAAGAAATATTTCAGATATCTGTCTACAAAATATGTAAGACCAGATTTTGAGTACGTAGCAACTGTATGCAACCTGCCACTGGCCAAATGCATAACTTAGCTAGAGATAATCAAGTTCTGCATTCTCGGATGCACAGAAAGACACAACTCGGGAAGAAGTTAGATCAAGAAGAGACGTAATCACAACTAATAAATTATTCTGGGGCATAAGGAGGGTAAAAAAAGATATTTATTTGACATGGGAGGGATTACAACCAGAGTATAGTAATGTACATTATGCTGAATCTGAAGTGTAGAGGGAGTAAAGCTGTGTAATGAACATGGAAGCAGTAAGGTAAAAGTCGACTTCATCTAAGGGATCAAAAGTGAATGCTGTAAAATAACCTCAGTTACATTAGCCACTTGGAACTAAATAAATGGGCCTAGGACATTGGCACCTTAATAAATATAATATGGTTACAATGATTCAGAAATGCATGCACCTTTTACAGTATGTTTAGATACCAAGAGATTAAAACTTTGAATGTACAGTGGTACCTCAAGTTTCGAACAGCTCCCAACTCGAACAATTATGTAAGTACAGTATATTTTTGTAAGTGCTTTTGTAAGTGTATTTTTGGGTGTCTGAAATGGACTAACATAATTTACATTATTCCTTATGGGAACAAATTCGTTGGGTATCGGCACTCGAACAGCCTTCTGGAACGAATGAAGTTCGTAACTCGAGGTACCACCGTATATACTGTATTCAGAATCTTATAATTTTTTCCCTTAAGTGAAATTATCTCCTTTCTTTTTGAATATCAGCTTGATTCCTTTCTCAAAATATTTTGGACATTCTGTGATGATTGTAGAAGTTGAACATCACCAGTGTTTACACTTCCCTATCAATTTGAAAAGAAAAAAAAAGAGAATCTCTTTAATAAGATTAATATATACAATTTTAATATAAAAATAATTGCCTTGAAACTCTCCATTTGAGATGTACAGTACATTGTTATTAAACTAACTAAATTAATTTAATATTGGTTTGAGAGTTTTGCTAAATTATGGAGACCTTATGAACTTTTGACATATACATGTATAGTATATCTTTGTTATTAGTCAAGTACTGTGTGTTAACAAGAACCAGAACATTAGCTTCCTACATTTCTTCAGAGCTACTTTATGTTTTTTATGTTATAACATGCAATTTGTTTTTATCCTGCATTGAAAGGATGTCAGTTCTATTAATGAGTTGTCTCACATGATTGGTGAGAACCCCCAATAACTCAAATGCCAGCAAAATCTACCAACAGACTCCTTTCTACTCCTACACCTTAGTGGCATTCTTCGTCACCATTAGTCCACAGCAGTCAGGTGCTGTATAAAAGTACTGTAACATATTATTTTGATGAGCACAAATTACCATATTCCATGTTTAGTATTAGCATGTTAATGTAAGCAAACATTTTTTTAAAATTCAATAATTTTTTGGGTCTTCTTTTATATTGAGTAAAATTGGATACAACAGCAATGTGTTACTACTCAAATTCAGAAAAAAATCCAGGTTTATGAAATGGCTCAAGTTGCAGTCATTTCTGATATTTAGAATCCTATTTAGTCATTATTTATGTTCATTATCAAAAGTGTCATACCATATCCTTGTAAAATTACTGTACCTAATACATTTCTCCTCACTTCTTCCATACACTTATGTTTATTATGCCTATATTTAATCTTTCATTTTTGCTTGATGTAATCTGTCTTATTTCATGTCAGGGATGATAACCTTTAGTTTTACATACAGTACACGTACAGGTCCGTCATCACAAATCCGGCAGTCAGTTATTCGGTTCCTTCAGTTATTCGGCACTAATTTTGGCTAGCATAATTTCAAATTTCCATGGTCGCCACACCAACCTGCTGGTACTGTTTGGTGGCGCTACTTACTGCATAAGTCATTCTAATTTCTTTTTCTCCATTTATTGTTATAAGCTGCTTACTTTTAGCCCTAGCCATGGTTCCAATGAATAAAAGAAATGCTTTTCGTTGTGTAAAGTACCTACACAGTACATTGTCCATTAAAGATAAGGTGGCTTTGAAGCCACTGTCAGTTGCTATGAGCTCAGTCTCGTGATGCAGGAGAATATGCTTTATTATTATGCTAATATTAACACTACAGTTTATTGCCTATCACAATTGATCTAATATGACATAATAAACAATATAAATAACATAAAACATGTTAAATACTCCAGAATGAATAATATTTGGCATAATACCGAGCAGTTCAACGGAGGTATGAAGAGGATACGAGATACAAGTACCATTCTCTTATCCCTGTCATGGGGCTTATATTATTATATTAGAGAAAACGGAGTGTAGCACAGGGCTAACTGTGATATACACTCATACTGCACCATAAACCTGAAACAAAAGTTATTTTCTCTATATAGATTACCACACATAGCAGCATATGTATAGAGAACCTAGGATAACCCAAAAAAGTCAGACAACGTAATTTATTTCTAGTACCTGGCTTGGGTTAGCCATATATGATTTTTGGTAAATATTCAATTCCCTGCCAGGGTAGAAACATTGGGCGTGTTTCTTTTCACCTGTTGTATATGTTCACCCATCAGTAAATGGGTACCTGGGTGTTAGTCGACTGGTGTGGGTGTTATCCTGGGACACTGACCTAATTTGCTTGAAATACTCTACATAAGAAGCGGCTTTCTATATAGTACGTAGTATGTCACTGATGTCAGCTATGTCTGTATCCCATGTACATGTACGTGTAGTGAATTATTATTATTATTATTATTATTACTGTTATTTTCTCATTTGTTTATTGGGTTATCTTATTGAAACTTGGGCAATGTATGATGGAAAGATACTTCTTAATGTACACCAAAAATCAAAGAAATCAGACCATAAATAGCGGAGTTCACTTCTCAGCCATTAGCGGCCGATTAGCGGTATATTTTTGTATGGTTTTTATGGTTATATTCTCATTTTTTCGGTCTCATTTGATAGAATGGAAGATATATTACAGAAATAGATATGATTTTGATTGCTTTCATGATGAAAAGTACCTTGGAATTGTGCTCACAGTAGCAGAAAAGTTCTATTCTTTAGCGATGCTCAAGGAAACAAATGACGTCACCGTCCAATACCTGTCCGCCTGCCAGTCCAAATTCCAATATGCAGTCAAGAATGAGTTGACTTTTTTTTTTTTTTTTTTCAACAAGTCGGCCGTCTCCCATCGAGGCAGGGTGACATTATTTATACAATTATTACAATAATGCAGTAGTCTGCATAACAGTAAATCTTCTATTTTTTTGTGTGAATAAAAATTCCAAATGGTAAGCAAGAGTAATATAAGAGGGGCCTGGAGCCATGACTAATGAACAGAGAAAATGTTATTTTAGTGCCAGGAATGTCTGCATTGTCTATTCTGGACCCTATTTTCAAACTGGCATCTGTGAAATTGGCCAAATTGCCAATTTCTGACCACTTTATTGGGTAGTTGAAATAGGTGAATGGGCGGTTTCTTGTACTCAGTCGACAGACTAGAAGTAAGTTTATTCAGGTACTATACATAAATACAGTTACATAGATTATCATACATAGCAGCGTATGTATAGAGAACCTAGGATAACCCAAAAAAGTCAAAGTGACTTATTTCCAGTACCTGGCTTGGGCTTGCCATGATTTTGGGTAAATATTGTTTTTTTCTCAGTTGTTTGTTGGGCTATCTCATTGAAACTTGGGCAATGTATGATGGAAAGATGCTTCTTAACGTACACCAAAAATAAAAAAGATGGACGATAAGTAAGGGAGTTCACTTCTCAGCCATTAGCCACCTCTTTGTGGTATATTTTCGTATGGTTTTTATGGTTGTATTCTCATTTTTTTTGGTCTCATTTGATAGAATGGAAGTTATATTACAAAAATAGATATGATTTTGATTGCTTTCATGATGAAAAGTACCTTGAAATTGAGCTCAAACTAGCGGAAATGTTCGATTTTTGCCGATGTTCAGTGAACTTTGTGTAAGTCAAGTTGGTTAATTTTATTAAGTGTATTCTAACCTAACCACCCTGTAATCCAGCAAACTCAGTAATCCGGCACACTACAGGTCCCTATGATGCCGTATTTGTGATGGAGGACCTGTACTAGGAAAGGCTTTTCTTTCATGACTGCAGTACAGTACATGAAAAGTAAGCAAAACTTGCTCTGTACTTTAAATCCTTTATTCTCTTA